AGAGAGAGAGAGAGAGAGAGAGAGAGAGAGAGAGAGAGAGAGAGAGAAATAGGATATAAAAATTTATATACAAAATTAATATTTATTTACAATATTTTATATTTTTTATTTTTATCTATTATTGTATTTTATGCAACGTATTTGTCAGTAAAGATCGGTTTTAGAAATTGCAATTACGATATAATTATTTGTACTATGGACTTATCGCACTTACAACCCCGGCCTAGATTCGCACCGGCAATCGAATTGTAACTACAGTTGTATGTTGACAAGTGAAACAAATAAGTTTGTTTAATCATATCATTAAAAGTTACAGATCTAATATGTGACGTTATTGTAATAAACAGATGTGATAAACCGATCTAGAGATGTGATGGTAAACTGATACAGTTTTATTCAACTGTTAATTGTAAAAAATGAAAGACACCTGTCGAAATAACTCAACAAAGATTATGAAATCATTAAGGGATTATTGGTGGCATTATTCTTTTGACAATGTCACTTTTTTATGAGGCTGTCGTTTGTTATTATAAAGACATATAAAAGAAAAAAACTTTTCTCTAATATAACAATTATTAGCTTCAATCTACTTTACATATACACTAATTTGTTGAAAATATTGAAATGAAACTTTATTTATTCTTCAAACATTTATCCTTTCTTAAGTACGATTACAATTAACTAAATATTGGCGAAATTTGTCGCGTTGATTCGCTACAACAATTAACCAAGTCATTGATATTTAATGTTTTCCTTTGAACACAGGATAATTAAATTTTCTCATTTTCTTAGCTAAATAATTTCGCTTTATTCCGTATTAATATACCAATTTTACCGAAGTAAAGTCGACTAGGCATATATATATATATAAAGGAAAAGGGGAAAGCAAAATATAATTAAAAGCGCGGATAAAATTAGACGTATTTTCGATCTAGGCAATTTTTTATTTAAGTCGTTCGTATCAATGCAATACGTAGTACGATTAAGAGAAGGGAATTCAGGCAGAAAAAAATGACGACACGCACGGCTCTGTCTTACGCTCTGTGTGTAAAAAATTTAACTTTCTTCTGAATGGATTGTGCTGTTTGTTGTAGCCACACAAGAAAATCGTCAAGCAGATTACACCTGTCGAACAGAGAATAACTTGCCGGGCAATCAGCAAGATGCATTCTTCTCTCCTCGACCCGTTCCCTTCTGGTCGCATTCCGAAGGTTGGTGGGGCTATTATCCTGTGACGTATAATGCTCCATCCAAAAAGCCCGCGAACGAAGCGAACGAACGCTCCTTTCCTTACCTACGATATCCAGACGAAAACGCGTGCGTTGGATATGAATTTTTTTATCCGGTTTATGACGAGAACTTTACCGACGTGACACGGATGAGAGCTGTAGACCGAGAAAATTCCTCAGACCAATACGGTTACGTTGCCGTGATTTGTCCTCAACCGGGTCACTATGCTCAATCGGACGTTGATACAAATAACTACAACTACAATCGCTGTAACACTATCCATTCGTCTCCCGCTCAGAACGATAGATATTTTGTGCAAAACGGCTCGGTCAATGAATCAGGAAACACCTTGCCCGACGAGATTAATCACTTGGATGCACAGTCGAATGAGGGGTACAATCCCAAAAATGTTTGCGAGAGCTACGACAGTGACAGAAATTGTCTTATGACGGCGATGAACATAGTTGACGAGGAAGACGGCTCATCGGACAAACCCAACGAAACTATAATCTCTAATAACATCGAAAAATCTAAGAAGACATTTGGCCTGCATATTAACGTGCCTAATTACACATATGTAGACACTAGCGATTCTAGTGATTCCAGCGATTGCAGCGATTCCAATGATTCGAGCGACTCCAGCGATTCTATCTCCGATAACGAGCACTTTTCGGATTCTTGCCGGAAATATTGTAACGATACTATGTCCAATAATACATTATCGAATAGTGATTCGGATTCATACGAGGGTTATTCTATGGATTTAAATACTTACGAGAAACTGAAGATAAATCCGCGTGCTATTTCTTCTGATAAGAATAGTACTGATCCCACTGCTCATTCGGAATGCTCGACTAATGTTGATAATGTTGATAATTCATGCGGACATTCGCAAAACGATTCCGAGAATAGTAACGACAAGATACTTCCTAAGAAGAATCATATCGATTATTCGAACGATCGAAATTCTTGCGTAACGTTGAAACAAGATCTCGCGACGCAGGGATGCAACGAGGAGGATCACATCGATAATCAAGGTAATCTCGACTCTTGTTCCAGTAAGACGAATTCTATAGGCAACAGCGTATCGAATACGGAACAGCGCGGTCAAGAGAACCCGGTAACTGACAACATCGTTCCTCATCAGTTGAGTATAATTTACGAGGACGTGGAACGATTGAGTTCTGAGAGTCTTTATAGCGAAAGTAAAAAGAAAATCGATGGACAAAATAAAACTTCTCTCGAGATGATCGATGATCCGCCTGACGACGCCGAAGCTACGATGGTCAGCGTGAGTTTACCCCTGAAATTCAAGTTTTCTGTGTCTGAAGACAATGAGGATATCACTACCGTGACAGTTGGCAATAGCGAAATAAAGGCAGAAAAATCCTGCGGCGGATATTCCGTGAAAAATGATAACAACGACGACGTTTGCGTCAACTACCATATTGGCAACGACACTAGCGTGGATTTTACTGTGAAGAGACACACGTCAGATGAAACGTGCGCAACTGCGAGCACAAGAGATAAGGCGAGTATTGATACCGCGGTACCACACGTGGACTTCACTTTCAAGAAAGATCCGACGAATGTTAGCGAAACTAACTGCAAAGAACAGAACACAGAGACGGGATTTCCAGTTACAAAAACCACGGGATCTCATGGAATAATCTTTAAGGAATCAGCGTCGAAGAATGCCGGTGACTGTATCACTGATTCCGAATCGGTAACAGCTACGCAAGATACATTAGTAAACGATGGAAATTGTATCCAAGCGGAATCCGCTTGTAACAATTTCGGAGACATCGATGTCAGCGGAACGACCGCCGAGTCGAAACTCGTCACGTCCGAACGTTCTTGGATGCGAAATTTCGAGACGCTCCAAGTTCCCGTCGTCGATACAAATCAAACAAGTCAGAAGAACTGTTGCGTAATTGCGGATAACAATGATGATCGATGTATCGACCCGGAACTCTATCAGACAGACACGAAATACTTGCTGAGTGTCCAAGACTCTCGTGAAGACACCGATGACGAGGATAGTGGAGTTACTTCCGATATAAGCCGGATGATATCTGAGATCGACACGGAGTGTCGCGAGATCGACACAGATTCGGAATGTGCCACTTCGAAAAAGCAAAAGAAGTATCAACGAACGCAAACGCACTCGCGACTCTTTCGGCTTCTGAACGACGACTCCAATTTGTCCGATTGTATAACCAGCACAGATCCTGGTTCCAGAAAGGAGTATCTCAGCTTGCCGCTTAAGACGAACGCGTTCAACTACGACGACAGTTATTGCTCCAACTATTCCAGCGGTTTAACGTCCCCCGAATATTCGCCTATTCACGAGCAGTCCTGTCGAAAGTTTCACGACGCGGCGACGAGCGGAAATGCCGCGAGCTTACCGGACGTTAAGCCTCACCATTCGGAACAGATCCCCTCGAAAGACAATTCGTATTTTCTGTCCTGGAAGAACGCGAAGTTGCCTAATCTACACGAGCACGATGCTATACCCTCTTTAGCTTTCAAGATCCTCAACAGTAAGACGCCCCTATGGACCTACAAGGTGAACGTACTGTGCCCGAGAATCAAGAGTACGAAAAGCGTGCCGCAAGCCTTGCTGGCACGGCAAATCGACAAGAACTAACGATTCCGTCGGTGATCACCTCCTATTCCCGACATCCTTGTGCGAACGCTAAACCAACTATTGCTGACGGCCTTAGGGTAGAATGGGGGCCATTTTGCCGCTGCGAACAACCGCTCTCCAACCGATCCACGGGACATATTTTTTTCTCGATTCTCTTCACAAGACAGGGCTGAGTGTGCCCAAGGCGCTCTACGGGCTACGTGATTTTTTTTTCTATCGGTACATATCGTTTCCATATATTCGTGTATCATTCTTGATTTCTTCTCCACATTTCCCACTTTCCATTTTTTCGTTTTTTTTTTGTCATTTACAGTTGAACCTCTATATTTGTAACATATCGCGATCGAACAATCGTCCTATTTTTAATACTTCTTTTTAAATCCATTTTTACATGCGCAGAATGAAAATAGTTATTGACAGATGGACACGCGTAATATCTTTCATTTTTCACTCGCGGATTTCACACTAGCTGCGTATGGTCACATGTTTACCTGAGAAATGTAAAGTTGTAGGCGGAGAGGGGACAGAAGGGGACGCAAAAAGTGTTAAGAATACGGAGATTTGACTGTTATTTTCTTTTTTTTTTCTGTACTTATCAATAATTCAATTATAGACGCATGTAAAATCTATTCCCTCTTTTCTTTCGTTCTCTTTCTCTCTCTCTCTCTCTCTCTCTCTCTCTCTCTCTCTCTCTCTCTCTTTCTCCTTTTTTTTTACATTTCGCAAAAAGCCTTAATTATTAGATACCAACGCTTGATTGCTTTATGCATGTTTGTGACTAATACTGATTAAGAAACACAAAATTAAAGTTCCAAAAAATTCGAGAAACGAATAAACAACGTCACGGAAGAAATTATTTGATAGTTTGATAAAGTTCACGTATATCAAGTACAATAACTATTTTGTGGTTGTCTAATATTCAATTTTATATAAATGTACAAAATAAAAAAATTATAAGAGAAAGGAGTATAGCGAAAGATTGATATAACCGAAACATATATGTGTATATATGTATGTATTGTGTATACACACAACATATACATATAAACATATTTATATGTATATATTATATGTATATACATATAAGCATATGTACACTCGCACACTCGTTCGTTCACTCACACACATTGCACAATTCCAAACACATACAACACACACAATACCTAAATTTTACTTAAACAAAGTATACATGATCTACAATATATGTATATACTTTTTAAATTTTGTTTTTTTTTTGTATGTAGACTGTAGACAATATAAAGATTGCTCCTTGAGAAATATAATTCGTTATTTTTTTCAGGTCCCGATACAACTGATTACTGAGGATTGGTGAAATTCTGCTTAGAGACAGAGTCGGATTATTTAGTGCGCTTTTTTTCTATTTTGTTTACAATAATCCATAGTACTTACGTCGCCGCTTGCCGATCCATCGACGAAAAATTAATCAAAGGTTGTCTTCAAAGTGGGCTGTAAATCGCTTATAAATTATTTGGATTTTAGTATCTAATGCTTGCGCGTTGAATGGGACTTGGCCCCATATAATTTTTCCAACAATATGAAAATATTGAATTTTGTTTTTAATCGTTATTATATAATGATATTGAGTATTTGTATTATGTGTAATATTCTGTAAGTAATTAATTTAAATTCGCTTTTAAAATTTCAATTAACTATAATAAGCATTAATTTTCAAGATTTTTAAATCTATTTCCTAAGAAAAAAGTACTTGAACAGTCTTATTAAGAGACTGGCTGCCTGTTGTCTACATGTTGCAATTATATATATATATATTATATTATGTGAGCACAAACACGTTTGTTTAAAGATGAATGGATCGCTATAGAAATTGTAATAACACTCTTTTTAAAAATATTAATCATAATTTAAAAGTATATGTGTAAACGTACATGTGTATACATATATGTATTGTTAATCTTGTTACCTGAATCTATCACTGTATTACTTATCCAAGATGTAAAATAAATTATTTATAAAATTGATAATGCTAATAAATAACTATCTAATTATTTATCGCAATATGACCGAACGTACACATTATATTATAATATAATGTATTATTAATAATATACATATTATATAACACGTTATTAATTAAATTTAACAGTTCTGCTTTATCGTAAACAAGTTTCTACATTACTATTTTAATGTGTGAAAAGTCGTATTTATCTTTACCATTAGACGGAAATAATGTATAAATATACAATCTAATATTCACAGATTTGTTACCATTATAAAAAATTGATCATCACTCACCGATCGATGCGCAACGGGCGGAGTTATTCGGCCACAGAGCTACGATGATTCTGTAACATAAGAAAGAAAAATTCAAATTAAAACAAGCGCTCAAAATAATGAACGTTTCAAAAAATAATTTTTACGCGCGTCTAATTCGACTTTTAATTAGATTTTCTATAATATAATTATATCTATTTTCCGAGAAAAATCTTTACGAGAATAAACTTTTATAAAATTTATAAATGGTTTCTCCTTCTCAAATTATTTTCAATTTATCGAGATAAAACGGCTCGAATAAACAAGAAATAACTAAATTAATTTTAAGAAAAATACTCACCCCAAGGTTGCTCCGCCGGTGCCCGATGTCTCTGCCAGACCTACTCCTCCTCCTCTCAGGATGGGGTTGTCAGGCCGTCTCCTGCTCCTTCCGTCGCACAGGACACTCACAGAATCACTGTCCGATATTCCGCGATCGAGAGCGAATAAGTAACTGTCATAACACGTACGATCGCGATACTTTATTTATTAGACGACACTCCCGAGATGAAACGACCGACGTATTGCGGCGCACTTCCATTATTTAAATCCGACAACTTACCGAGCTGCTTTCTCCGCTCGGAACGCAGCCAACTTCGTGCCGACGCCGACGCAACGCCGTGCCGCCCGTGCCGTGCCGCGCGGATACAACGCAAGTCGAGTCAACAGCCGAAAAGAGAGAGAGAGAGACACACGTTTGCGACACAATTCGAGCACGTAAAATTCCGCGAGATGCAAACGCAATTAAACGGTCGACACATCACACATATCACCGCGCCTCGTCATTTCAAATCACGCACGATTCGCGTGCTCCGTCACGTTAACTCCCACGATAATCCGACGATTCGCGTATATTCCGCGTTTCCGGAAACGCGAAAGCGGTGGCCAAATTCTCAAATCCATTCAAATGAATTCCTTCGAGAGGCAATCGCGTCCGGCGTTGAATAAATCGCGACGAAACGTTAGTCGAGCACTCGATCCGATCGTCCTCTCAGTCCCGTGGGCGATAATAGTCCATTCACAACACAAGATACTTAGATTCGGCGTATATTTAATTCTGTATTCACTTGACTCCGATTCCCGTAAATCGCACGAGACGCGTGCGCAACGACCAGCGGCTTCAGCCATGTTCGTGAATCGGCGCGAACGGCGAAAATCAGTGTGTCGAGCAAACGGGACAATCCGACGATTAATAGATAATGCTGCATCTTTCTGTAGTACTTGCGATGGCTGCGATATCGTCGTGATACTTGCCGCGGCACATCTCGCGATGTAATATAGCGCTACGCACGGAGCTCGCGGCTGTCAGCTGCCTGTCGGTTCGATCGTCGGCCGCGTCGGAACGTGAATGATCCTACCGCGACCTGCGCGCTACACGATCATCGCGGCGACCGTTTTTGTAAACATTAGGTGGCGCGGGGCGAGGGGCGCGGCGTACAATGCCGGCGCTCGCAAAAACACAAAATTAAGTCGAGCACCCGCGTGCCAATAACAGTCTCGCCGTCGACAATATTTAATTACTTACTTGACAATAACGTTTAATATACCTAGCGGTATATTAAACAGAATTAGCGTACGCCAATTATTCTGTTTCTCGTATTTCGATGAAGAGGCTATTATCGATTGCATATCTAAAAAGTACCGCGTTTTATCACGGATATTAGCACGTTGCGCGAAACGATAATTCCTCTCTCAATAGTATTTCGATCTGAGAAAGGAACGATTCACAAATGAAAAATAGTAACGTGAGCTCGCGAACTTTCGCGTGATTGGCTCTTTAATTGCTCTGCTCTAATTTCTTTATTCCGAATTATGGAATTCGTCGTTGCGCAGCACACGCCTCGAGCCGTTTACAAGAGTCGAGTGAGGTAAATAATGTAAATATAGTATTAATGTATGCACATTCAATATTCCGTTTCTTGTATTCCGGTGAATGGACTATTGTCACACACTGGAGTGAGAAGACGATCGGGAGTGCTAGATTAACGTTTCGTCGCGATTTATTTAACGGAGAACGATTAATTACTTCTCTCGAAGGATTCATTTGAATGAATTTGAGATACAGTTCAAGCACGTAAAATTCCGAGGGTGCGATTAAACGGTCGACACATCATCGCGTTTCGTTATTTTAAATCACACGATAATCTCGACGATTCGCATTATATTACGCGTACGCCGCGTTCTTGAAACATGAAAGCGGTGACCAAATAATATATTCTCAAATCCATTCAAATGAGTCCTTCGAGAAGTAATCGTCCCCCGTTAAATAAGTCGCGACGAAACGTTAATATATTGTCAAGTATAAATAATTAAATATTGCCGGCGGCGCGGGCGAGATCGTTGGCACGCGCGCGGGTGCTCGACTTTTTTTTTGTTTTCGCGAACGCCGGCATTACACGTCGCGGCCCGTATACCTCGCGATGTTTACGAAAACGGTTCAACGGTTACCGCGGCGGGCGGGGATGGGAGCGATCGCGGTGCGGCGCCGCGATCATGGTATAAAGGCCGCGATGTCAATCACGTCATCACATCCCGACTGATCCCGACGCACGCCGCGGCCGACGCTTGAACTGACAGGCAGCCATAGGCAGCCGGACTCCGGCTCCATCCGGCTCCGTGCGTAGCGCCATATACTTACGTCGCGAGATGTGCCGCGGCATGTATCACGGATGATATTGCAGCCATCGAAGGTACTACAGAAAGATGCAACATTATCTATTAACCGTAGGATTATCCCGTTTGCGCGGCCGGCTGATTAATTTTCGTCGTTCGTGCCGATTCACGAACATGGCTGAAGCCGCTGGTCGTTGGCGTCGTTGCGCGGCACACGTCTCGCGCGGTTTACGGCAATCGGAGTCAAGTAAATACAGAATTAAATGTGCGCCGAATATAAGTTTCTTGTGTTGTGAATGGACTATTATCGCTTACGGGAGTGAGAGGACTGAGAACGATCGGATCGAGTGCTCGACTAACATTTCGTCGCGATTTATTTATTCACGCCGGACTCGATTGCCTCTCGAAGGAATTTATTTGAATGAATTTGAGAATTTGGCCACCCCTTTCGCGTTTTGGGAACGCGGAATAATACGCGAATCCGGCGAATCGTCGAACCATCGTGGGAGTTAATGTGACGGAGTACGCGAATAATCGTGCGTGATTTGAAATGACGAGGCGCGGTGATATGTGTGATGTGTCGACCGTTTAATTGCGTTTGCATCTCGCGGAATTTTACGTGCTCGAATTGTGTCGCAAGCGTGTGTCTCTCTCTCTCTTTTCGGCTGTTGACAGTGTTGACTCGACTTGCGTTGTATCCGCGCAGCGCGGTGCGGCGTCGCGCGTCGGTATGAAGTTGGCTGCGTTCAGCGTAGAAAAGCGGCTTGGTAAGTTGTCGGATTTAAATAATAAAAGTGCGCCGCAGTACGTCGATCATTTCATCCCGGGAGTGTCGTCTAATAAATTAAGTATCGCGATCGTACGTGTTATGACAGTTACTTATTCGCTCTCGCGATCCGCGGAATATATCGGGCAGTGATTCTGTGAGTGTCCTGTGCAACGGAAGGAGGAGGAGACGGCCTGACAACCCCGTCCTGAGAGGAGGAGGAAGCCTGGCAGAGGCATCGGGCACCGGCGGAGCAACCTTGGGGTGAGTATTTTTCTTAAAATTAATTTAGTTATTTCTTATTTATTCGAGCCGTTTTATCTCGATAAATTGAAAATAATTTTTGAGAAGGAGAAATCATTCTAAAATTTTATAAAAGTTTATTCTCGTAAAAATTTTCCCCGGAAAATAGATAATTTTATTAGTAAATCTAATTAAAAGACGAATTAAACGCGCGTAAAAATTATTTTTTGAAACGTCATCATTTTGAACGCCTGCTTTAATTTGAATCTTTCTTTCTTGTGTTACAGAATCATCGTAGCTCCGTGGCCGAATAACTCCGCCCGTTGCGCATCGGTCGGTGAGTGACGATCAATTTTATATAATGGTAACAAATCTGTGAATATTAGATTGTATACTTATGCAAAGATAAATACGACTTATCACAGATTAAAATAAAAACACAAAAAAGAGGATCGTTGATTGGAATCGGCGGGGGTGGTGGAGAGCCTCTACAGAATAGCCTATTTTTACCGAATAACATTTTATTTGTCAGTATAACAGAAAATGTGATAGATCATGCAAAACGTCGGAAGTGGCGTGAAAAATGTGATCGTCGAATTTCGACAATTAATATATGCGCATATATATAATCGTGATCTCAAACATAACAGCATATCGTTTATATGTTAACTAAATTGAAAATACGATGTAGTATAATAATACGCTATGAATAGATATAATTCAAAGTGTGATGTATGTTCGTTTACGATGCATAATATACGCTATAATCGCCCAGAGAGTTACCACCCAAATTGATTCAATTAAATATAAAGCACGACTGTCCATGGCGCCGATCCTCCAATGGAACGGGAAAATTTGATAACACATGCTGTGACCCACGTATAATACCAGTGCATTCATGCCTGAATTCATATTTGGGCAATGTTAAAAGATTAATACAAAATATGCAAATGCAGCTCAAATTATTTACTATATAAAAAAGTGCTAAAAATTTAAACACGTTCGCATTTTTCTTTATATTGCACTCTATATTTACTTTATATTTAAACATTATATTTAATTTGCCACTAATATAAGATTTAAAGTTTAATTTTATAACTTTGTAACTAAATATATATATAAAATTGTGATTTTTATTTTGATTAACATAGAGAGAATTTTTGTATAATTTTTATCTAATGTGTCTTTAAATCTTTATTTCATAGTCTCATGTCCTTTTGGACATTATTTCTAACTATCAATATTTAGTGACAAATTTTTAGAGCAGATTAAATAAAATGTGTTTTCACTCACCGGGAATTCTGAAAGGACCACCTCGCCAAACTTTGATAACGTCAATTAGCAAGTAACAGCCAGAAAGGAAAGCCAGAGCAAAAGAAGTTGAAACAAATACGAATGACAAAGACCTGCGTAATTATATCGATTTATAGAGGAATCTTATCATTATAATGATCATTTTTATAATATAATTACTTTACCACAAATTTTTATTAACGGGTATAATGTTGGTGAAATGAAAGGCGCAACCCAGACAACCATAAAACATTGCCCACAAAAGCCATCTGATAACACGTTCTTTCCAGTCTTTATATATCATCAGAATTACACCAGCATGTACACCTAGATATACTTGAAATATCGCTGTGAGACATCCTAGAGAAATATATAGTATTTATATTATGTAATTATAATTTAAAATAACAGTTGAAATTAATGTTTCTTTCTTTATAAAGGTACATAAGTTCAGTTATCACACTTTTTTTACACAGGTTTAGATAACGTTATAAAATTATAAAAATGTATCATTGAATACACTTTATAAATATATAAAGTGTCTTAAACTTATCGGGTGCTTTTCATACATGACAGAGTCCTTGATTAATTTAAAGTCGTTTTTTTTACTGAAAATATTGAGATATTGATAACAAAAGTCTATCAATTAAAACATATAAAAAAGTTGCAACAAATTATAATTTTCTTTAATTGGTTTCGTATTTGCTATCATTAAAAGAATATCCAGTGGCTTTAGGGGACATTCTATATATATTTTAAACGCATAAAATATAAAGTTGAATATTCCAATATGTATATGTATTTAACTGTAATAAAGCAACAAATATTACCTAAAATTCCTTCGGGATCGAAAGGACCGGATCCGTAAACGAATTTGATAGTTGGATTTTGGTAAATATGATTCAAAGTCAGTATAGTTTTATCAATATATCCAGCCGCACCTCCGGTACAGTTAAAATATTTACCATCTTCGTGTCTTCCGCCTGGTCCAAGATACCCCCTGTAACACACGTAAATTTATTTTTATTTATTAACAACAAATCGTATAGCATTAAGAAAATATAATTCAAAATTAAGAGCAATGTACATACGTGGGGCATTCGGGAACTGGAAGACCAAACGTTAGAGCGCAATGTACAAATATTAGACACAACATTACGAAAAAATGTGGCAAAAGGCTTAATATATCTTGCATTTCACGTATTATCCAAGTCGATGATGAGTTCTATAAAAGTACACGGAGAATTTATGTCACTAACTGTAATTCATGTATTATTAAATTACACTTGCAAAACTTTATCATAATAAAAATACCTTCAAAGATTTGAAACATATGACTACATGAATGCAGAATGTAACATATATCTATATTAAAAGATTTCTAAAAATATTGTTTAATATTTCCATACCTGATGAAGAGTTTTTGACTGTTGGGGTGGAAAACAGAGATACACTAGGCCAACGACCAGATATGTAACTCCGAATCGTTGAAGAACTCCAAATATACGTATGTTTTCCAATTGCGCGTTTGTTCCTAATGTATTCAGCGCAACACCTATCAGAAATAGAAGAAAACTTCTCTGCGAAAGAAAGCAGATATATTAAGATATAATATACCAATATTAATACTTTGCCGATACATTTTTTTACATTTTTATTAATATCTTTCTTTTAGGCAGATCAATAATATGCTCTAGCGTATGTATAGATCGTTTTTTATTTTTTCTTTAACCAATTACTTACCTTTAAAATGGAATAACTGATTTGAAGCTTGGAAACTCCACGTTTTAACTGTACCGACAAGGCTATGGGAACGCAAACACCCATGATCCATATAAAACAAGGAAATACTAGATCTCCCAGTAACATGCCATTCCAAGTTGTGTGTCCCAATATAGTATAACTACCGGAGCCATCATTAACGAAAATCATGAAAAGAGTACTGACCCTGCATCATATAAGCAATTGTGTATAATATTGTAAGAAGTTCATGGAAATATTGGTTTCTGAATAGAGTTTTGTATTTGCTTAATCTCTTCGTACACGGAGAAAATTTTATGGTAAATATTACTATGGTGTCGCATTAGCTGCGGACCATCGAGGAATTTTAAGTTAAATTACTATGTTTATGGTAAAAATTACGTTATTTTATCGTTTTTAAAACAATAATTATAGTATTTTAACTTAAAATTCCTTGGTGGTCCGCAGCTAGTGCGACACCATAGTAATATTTACTATAAAATTTTCTCCGTGTAGTAAAAAAGTTGAGTAAAAAAGTTCGACGGTCTTTTACCATAAAAAAGTCAACCACTTTATGTTCAAAAAATCACTAAATAAACATTAATTAATTGTGTATTTAAAAGAATTTATTTACACAAAAAATCTAATATATTTATGATAAATAAATATTTTTCAATCAAATAGTTTCCACATCGTTTTCGATGATCTTACATCGCTATAACATTTTTTAACTCATCTAATAATATATGCATAATACCCTCTGAATGCGTCGATAGCTTTTATGCGACGTTTTGTCGGTTTATTATTTGATTCATTCCTGACGTTTTTTACGCATCGTCTTTTAAAGATGTACCATAAAGATCTTCCAGCAGATATACCACATAAGATAAATACAATTATTCCCAAAATAATGAAGAGTTCTGCAAACAATATTTGCTTTAACTTAAAAAAATGTTTTGCAATGTATAAAATTATGTACATTAAATTTTTTGTTTATCAAAATATGTAAATCGATTTTTTAATTGATCATTATAATCTTATGTACGATAATTCTCTTTTCGATATTATTGATATCGTGATATCAATCTTGTCATTTATCGAGTTCAATGGATAAATAAAATGATAAAGCCACTAGTATACGATACGCTTATCAATTGATATGTTATACGCTCAAATTGCATAATTCTAAGGTAACGTGATATTTCTGTAGTCATTTATATCACAATTAAAATATTTATACAAAAACGTGAGAATATTTAGAAATATACCTGTGTACGGATATGTTGGATTCTTCACAGTTCTAAAGTTACAAGTATTATTTTGTACCGCCAATTCGTATAAACCATATTGCCCAAGATTTGGAGACAGTTCGCAAACAATATTGCTAAAAGATAAGATTTGAGAAACGTTAAAATAAGATAGAACAATGCGTTGGCAGAATAAATGGATTTGTAAAATAATTTATAATTAAACACACTTCAACTTGATAATTGGACATGATACGTATCATTACATTTTTTTCTTTAACGTAATCATCTTTTTTGCATACATACAACATGCATACAACATCATATTCTAACACCAACTTTTTTTTAATGAAAAAAGACACTAAATTTTTATCCGGAGTAATACGTTAAAATGGTACACGTGTGTTTATATGCAGGTATGCATGCATGCATATTGTATATGTATCTTTTATTAATATAATTTATAAAAAAAGCAATATATAAGAATTAATGTTAAATAATAAGTTTATACCTTTTAATTTTGGCAGATACATATTCGTCGCTTCCGCTATTATTTAATACTCTCCATTTTATCGTTTTAATCGTACTGAATTTCAAGCTGGCATTGCTCGAAATCTGCGCTATTCGTTTATATGGACACTATAATAAAGACAGAAAGTTAGAAATATATTGGTCATTATGTTAAAACGTCGTAAACTATCCAAAAAGGTTTTGTATTAAATGTGAAATTTATCTATTGATTAGTCTATTGTGCTTTTATCTTTAAAAATCGATTTCATCGCATTCTCGCAATTTATAATAATATTCTGTTTAAAAAGTCCATATTTTGCTGAAGACTACTTGTCATCGTGGGGTATCGTGGTTTATTAATAAGGACCGTTTAAACCTTCCTTTTTGTTTTACCGCACAATTTTATTACCGTTATAAATTACTACAAAAAATTTAGCGTCAATCACAAAATAATATAATTATTTATTATATTATATAAATTGAATTTTAAAAATTATGCATATCATGATTATACTTACTGATAAGCAATCTGTAGAGAGCGAATAGAGCCACTTATCAAAGTTTCCATTGTCAGATATTACACTTACGCAGGCTTCGTCAAACGTTAAACTTTCGTAAGAGCAATTAAATTCGTTCATTGCTAATATCTTTATAAAATAAAATTGTATTTAGATTCCAATAACATATAGGTATGTATTCTTAGTTGACAGTTATAGAACACACGTTTAGGCAACTAACATATGTAAAATTCGTGTATCGAAGTGCCTCGTGGCATCGGTGTCTATTTCCTCACAACATGCATCTCAGATTTCAGATAAATACCACTTTTGAAAAATCTTTCGAGATCGGTATTATTCCGTACATTTGTGTAGTAGTCGATAAAGCTTAGGTTTACACGATGATAGCGACGTCTGACTGAAGCAACAAAACGACTTTTCTTAATATCACAAAATATCGGAATGCGATTACATCAAGTGTTAAACACGAATGGCCGAAGAGTGAAAGTGAAGACCTATATTGATCACTCACACCGTTGCATGTGAGCGTAACCTTTTGGCAAAAGTGAGACGATATATCGAGGACAAATCAATTATATAAATTAATTAAAAAACACGTTCTCTTAATTTGTTCATTTATTTCAAAGACAGCTTGTACATACAATATATTGCATGTTCTTTTTTACCAAAATTTTTTAATATTAAAAGACTTATTAAAATTATGTTAGTTCGGATATTTATGCAAATTGTCATGAAGAATTAAATCTATTCTTGCTTTTGCATGTGTGAGTGTGCGCGCGCGTACAAAATATAATCGTTTTTACAGAATTTAATTTTTAAGCTCAAAATTTAATCACTTGAGCTGTGTTCCAAAATTCACTGCCAGCGCTGGAAATCTATAGTACACGTAACATATACTATCGATTTTCAGCGCTGGCAATTTTGGAATACAACCTTGGTATATAAAAATCTTGCGTTCTAACGATACCGTTATGCTATAATATATATCCCGTGCATTTTTCTGTCTATAATACATAAGTAAAACCAAAAACTTCATTGAGATACAAATATACAATTATTTTACTTTTACATATCGAGAATCTCTCTCTTTAGGTAATATTATTTCGAAAATTCATAAATTCAATCACTACAAATTATTTTCAATTGTTTTATCTAGTTCGTTATAATGATTACAATTTATTTCACCCATATTTTTTATTCATTTAGTATAGTTAGAAACAAAGATTCAACTTTTCGCAAATACAGTTTAATCTTAAATAATATTAATATATAATTTTCTATAAATTGTGGTATTATTAACAAAACTAACACAAATATTAATTGACATGTGAATTTATATGATTTAATATACTTTATTAACATAATACGGTGATAACATTAATGGTCTAAAATATAAAGTAATACAATTTTATAGATATTCTTGTGTTTTTTTTTCTATACTGAAAAATGTAAACGTGGCTATTCTTTCGTACGTATCGGTATCTGTCGGAATGATTAATTGTGTTTCTTCACATCTGTCTGTCTGTGTCCGTCTAAAGTGAAACAAGCTTAAAACAAAGATTGACAAGAAGTACAAATGTATTCGTTCCAGTTTTATATAAATCAAGTTCTCTTTATTCTAAATTGATAAATGGAGACTTAATTGCCGAGCAATCTTTTATATCAAAAGTTTAAATGATGATGATAGTCGATCTGCAGCTTAACGGCTACTTAAACGGCTACTCAGGTGTACATATAAAGACATAACTTTATAAACAAACATTAACTTTTGTGATCATAATTTATTAAAATAGTTCATTCTATAACGTTCTATTACTTGGTAATTCAATTTTTCTTTTCAAGAAAAAAAGCGATTATATATTTATTGGAGAATACATTTGTACTTTTTTGAGTCTCCCTTATCCAAATCCAAGAACACACATTATACATATACACGCACGCGCGCGCGCGCGCGCGTGTACACATACATATATATACATATACAGGATGATCTGTTTGTTTAACTTATGCATCTTGCACATCTTTGCTGTTTTGAATAATAGAAAAAAATGATAAAAAAATTAAAGTTACCAAGTTTTACAATTTCGAGAGATATAGAGTAACGTAGTGACAATACTTTCAATGTGCACGAAGACTTGGAGATTTCAATGACTTGATTTTTTAAAACCATATAATTTCTCTTTTGTAATATAATTCTTCTGATTACTCGGCATGTGACAGTAGTAAGATTATAAATATCCATCAAGATTATCCTACTTTAATATTTTTATGCACAGTATAATAAAATAAATCAATTAATAAAATTAATATATAATTATAGATATATAATATATAATATATAATTATATTTAAAAAAATAATATATATGCGTATATTGCAAATTACATTAATTTTTTAACAAATTATTTTCTTTACATCAATTAATTCATCTCATTATATTCTGAATATAAAAATATTTATTTAGAAATATTTTATATTTCGTGTCAAAATATACCAGAATAAAGTATAAAATAAAGTATTGATTTTTTGTGATATCCTTACTTTAATACTTTTATATGCAGAATAACTAAGTAAACCATGTTTATATAAGAAAAATTATTTTGATTTTATTTTAAAAAATCAAGTTGCTTTTGAAATCTTCTTTATGCCTCTATGAAAAATGAAAGTATTACCACTACATATGTTCCTCGAAACTATAAACCTCAACTTTAATTTTTTTTCTATTATTCAAAATAAGATATTTAAAATGCACAAATGGGCCATCTTATGTGTGTGTCTGTGTAATGTTTAATGCATGTTTGGATGCATAAAAATACAATGATCGAGGACAATGCCTTGCTTGAATTTCTTTAGGCAACGAGATAACAAATCATCGATGCAAAAGAGCCAGAATTCGAATAGAAGTTAGCTGAGTACTTAAAAAATTATTTATTGACTAAGAAGTGTTCTTATTTCTTTGTGCATGTGGCATAGGAAATCGACGTAGCTAGGACTTCCATCATTTCCTCTATCTTCAACCAAGAAATGACGTAACACCATTTCTAATTTTTCACGTTGTCTTACTATCGTTAACTGCAACAGAAAAACAAAATTATATTACGCTCTAGTGTAATTTACTCATGCATTATATAAAGCGACTTACTTTCACACAGCGATGTCTTTCGGCACGTATCCGATTAATAATATTTCTGATTCTATTATTTAAAGGAGTATCTAAGATCGGTAGTGTTGCACGATCTGTATCGACTTGGACCACCGAAGGTACTCCAAAGACACTCTGTACCCATTGGGAAGAAAGTGCCATGCCCAACCATAAGAACATATGGATGGTGTTTTCTACCAAATAAAATATAAAATATATAAAAAATACTGATATCGTTTTTCAAAAAATAAATAACATATAACAATTACAAGTTATGTATATAAACACAAACCAAGAAAAAAGAATGTAAACTATGCAGCTTTTTCGATACTCAATATAATTTTGGCATAAAAAATACTCTAATGCCATGATTTTAAAAAATTTGAGATTAAAGTTGTAAAAAATTCGTTATTTATAATTTTATATTATTTAAAATGTGAGTATTTTTGATTATGTATGTTAATAATATGTAATTTTCATATTACCAAGTAAATAAGCGCCATCGTCTGTAAATTTATCAATAGAGCAACGCAACATTAGAGGCAGTTCCGAATCTTGAGGATCAACATCGTGTAAAGGAAATAATCTGGGATAAACATATGCAACGGATATGGAAATAGGCATTGTTGCGACCGCTTGCATTACATAAGATCTATCATCAATGGTCATATCAGCTCCTAGAATAAAAAGAAAAGTATATATATTCAATGTGAAATAATACAAATCATTAGTTGAATGTACATTCATATAAAGCATACCTCCTGTTAATGCATCGCTTTTCAACAAACAGTTTATGTAAAGTGGAAGTAACTTCATGCATTCTGGTAGTATTAATTGTCCAGCACTGGATGGTGTTGCACAATGTTTTCGATATATAGCCAGCATATTTGCACATCGTGCAATCAAATTATCCTTTACCGTTTTTGGAGTAGACTCCAGTAATTTAAAAATATCTAAGTAAGAACGAGCACATATTATTATTTACACAAATATATTTTTATAATTTTTAGAATTTTATATGGCATATCTTACTTTGCTTAGAGAAATAATTTATAATAGCATCCAAATCGCACGCGCGATATAATTCGACCATTTGCGATGAGGTTTTCAGGCTCAGGTTTATGATTCGCAATCTTCTAATACCACTGCAGGAAGTATATAGCAGAGCCGCTTGAATGTACACACCTTCATCCTCTGTTAGTTTGTCGTCATGTTTAATTTCTATTCCAACAGCCTTGTAAGTTAAAAAAAGTTAAATTAAGTAAAATAAAATTAAAGTACATAATTATAGCAATTAACTAAATAACATAACTTAGTATACCTTATCGCAGTCTATGCTGGCTAATTCCATATCAGTTGTATTGGACATAAAGTAATGACCATAGAAGTCGGTCGCTCTAACACCTGTAGATGTACGTACTCGCATAACAGCGTCAAAAGCGATTGGCCTACTAATATTATTAATAACATCTGAAATTAATCTTTCACCATCGATATCGGCCTGCAATAGAAATCGCAATTCTTGAATATTTTTGCTTTGTGAAGATAGAGTATATTAAAAGTACTTTTCATAAAATATTATTCTAATAAGCATCTAATTAGTATTTATATACATTTCTATTACAATAGTATAGCTCACCTGGAAATAAGTGTATTTATAAATCTCTCCTCCAGTAAGACGACAAATTTGACCAATTGTTGCTATATCTACATATGAATTATTAAAGATAAACAAATCTACACTGCAACCTGCACCGACACATTCTTGACCCAAATTATTATAGACATTATTCTGCGGAACTAAAAAAAAAAAACAAAATTATTTTACATAACTTAGTAACTAACTTAACGTGAATACTCTAAATACCATAAAATACATACCTAATACCGTTTTTTCTTTATCAGTTCCAAGTACTTTACGGTCATCACGGTTTTTCAATTTCCCAGGTGCTTCGGCAATTGGTAAAGATGAATGGAATATCAATAATTTGCCAGAACGTTGGGACGCCTGGAATCACAAGTAAAATTATGTGTATTTTTATTGAATCCCACAGAATGGATTTACTCACTGTAATTAAACTTGTGTTTATTAGTTAACAAGAAAAAAAATTATATATATATATATATATATATATATATATATATATATATATATATATATAATTCGCGCTTTATTCGAGTACCTTTAATGCTTCTAATCCAGCTTGTATGGCAGGAGCAAGAATTGTTTCTGTTTCTCGAGTATCCGCAAACATTTGAGGAATTTGTATCATAAGACTATCGATAACTGCCTCACTCTCTTCGACGTCGCACAGAAATCCGTCCAAAAGCGGCATAAATACATCTTGAATATCTCCAACAACCATCATTTGTGGTTGAGCAAGACAAGAATTGATGTTATAAAAATGCACGGTATTATTATATGTTATAAAGCCAACTTTCATTTTACTTTTGGTTTGCCCTGCGTCAATAGGTAGATTCTTTATTATGGATTTTATATTTGTACACAATAAGTTCACTAATCCAGATTTAACTGTATTGTACGATACGTCGATTATGAACACAATGGCTGGTGATTTTGGAAAAACATTGTCCTGTAAAAAGAATAAACAAATGGGAATTAGCGTATAAATTTATAATTTTAACGCTTATAAGGCTTAGATAAATAATTTCGACTTTTATCTTCAGCTCTTTCTAAAATATCGATGAATATAATTATTTCATATTGCCGTAAAATTTGAGGATAATTTTATTGGATATTACCCTGCAATAATCTTTTGTGGCCATATATTCGAATGTACCCAACGTTAATTCAGGTCTCTCGTAACGATCTAAACGTTGCCCTAACTGGTCTAAGTGTTGGAAATATTCATTTGGAACTAAACGCCGAAAACATAGAAATATGTATATTTGATGCAAACAAACTTGCGAGTACTTAAAAAAATAATTTTTCATCGTTACCTTCTGTCGTCGCTTTACAGAACATGCATTGAAATCTTCGACCGGAGTCAATAAATTGCATAAACGGACACATGTAACCTTTACAACGTACGCAACGTACTGGCCCAATTTCGCCCATATCTACAATTGGTGGTTCACATTCTCCTTGCACGATACGAGCCATTGGACTTATCACAAGTCCAAAGGGAACATTGGTCTACGTAAGAAACAAATGTATCAAAACATGTGAAAGAAAACAGCTAAATAACAAATTGATTCTTTGTCTATTCCAATATACCTGTTTTATAATATCAGTAGTAGTGGGAACGGTATACATAGTGGACCTGATATATCTGGGAGAGGCATTTCCTTGATCCTGAGTTATAAAATTTGTCGTCACCAAAGGTGGTACCAGTCCTTTCTGACTCGTTATGAATACTCCACCTCTCATATTTTGATCGTCTTGCATCACTTGAATCTGTGTATTAAAGACGTAGCTTAGCTTGACTCGAGATAATAAACAATATTGGTACATAAATTTGATTGAAAAAATTAAACTCATACCGGACTCGGCATCTGTTCTGGGTCAAGTCGTCTAGCTTGTTGAGGTTGATATCCTGTAGCATTAGGTGCATTAGTCTGATACATGTTCCTTTGATTATTATACATATCCTGCGAAAAGAAAACAACGGTCACTCCTTTCTATATAATAAAAAAAAAAAAAAAAAAATAAAATAAAAAATAAAAAATAAAAAAAAATTCTTAATTACTCACAAAATCGAAACTTTCGTTAATATATAATTGTACCATTTGGTTATGATATCCAGGCTGTTGGTACGTTGGTTGTTGATAGTTTGAAGGGATACCAGGCGATGTACGGTTTACTCCTAAAGGACTGGATAAAGCTTGCCCTGGTAATGGAGGCATATTAGAGCCATATTGTCTTTGAGCAGGTTGCTGCCCTAAACCTGGCCCTGGCCCTGGCCCTGGCCCTACAGGACTCGTTATAGTTTGGCCCGGCATTGGTGGTAAATATTGCTTTTGCCGAGCTTGAGAATAACCGGTCGCTGGAGGACTCGCTATAGTCTGTCCCGTTGTTGAAAGAGGAGGAGCAAATTGTGACAAATCTTGATCTGTTGGCCTTCCTTGCACTTGCGCCGGTAATGGTGGTACAGGATTATACGGCGGCATTCCAGATTGGAGTAGGTTAGCGTTTGGGAGATTAGTCCCCTGAGTTTGATAACCTACAGGAGCTTGCCCATGTCGGTGAAAACCTGTAGGTAAACGCGAAGGTATTTGAGAGCCAGGAACGCCTGTCGTCGGAGGTCCCATTACTTGAGGGTGTTCCACAGGCGGCGGGGCCGACATTAAGTTAGAATGCATTTGTGAATTCGACAGATTCTGTTCTCCCACAATCGGCGGCTTTATAAAGTTTTGTTGATTGTTTATTGGAGGCACAGGCGCAGCATATGGATGCTGCCTTCCTATATCTGGAATATGCTGCATCTGTTACAAGAAGATTCATTACGAATACAAACTGTAAATATATTGAAAGCGTACTAAAACTATCATAAAAATATCCAATTTAAATAAAAATAGCATAAAGAGAATTAACAAAAATATATATATTAAAGTTCTAACATTGTATAGTTTTGTTACTATAATCTAGAATTAATAATATACGTGATATACACATATAATATACGCGATACAAACAAGATTAAATAAATAACAAAAAAAATAAGGCTTTAAAATCTCAAGAAGTGAAAGGTAACCTACATGGAAAAAATGTCATGCTTTACAATGTAAGTATAAAGCGTGAATATGTTCCATGTGTACGCGTAAACCTTCCACGTAAACCTTCGTTGAAATAAAACGTAAAATACAGTGAGAAATTAAATATTAGCGACTAGAAACAGTGAATGCGTATGCAACGTTTCAAACCCCGAAAATTTATTACACGTGACGACACTGCTGGGACTTTACACGCAACATCCTAAACACACAGTACACTTACGTTATATCGTAAAATGTGTCTGAATCATAACAAATCTGAAACTATCGCGAGAAAATGTTTACGCGAAACGTACGAGAAATATACGTCGATGTGACTCGATGTAACTGACCACTCCGACACTCCGACTGGACTGAGTGCCGATGCCACGTAAGGCGGCATCGCGCATGCGTCTGACACATGCTGACAAGACACGTCATGCTGCAATTTGGACTGTCACGTCTGGAAAATTTGATACGGGAAAAATTAAACACACGGTATATTCGACACGCGAGCTGTAGCATAAATTCTTTTCAGATTTAATAAATTATTTAAACGCACGTGACGTATTTGTTCAAATTCTGACAATTATTAATAAAGGCAAATTTGGACTGTTTCTGATGTCTAATGTAGAGACAACGCGGGCGACATTTAAATCCCTCGTAAGATATTAATATTTATTCTCAAATCTATATAGCTTTAAAAATGGATTGTATGTGATTTTCTTTGTTTATTCGAGTTTACTCTTTCGATTTGGTTTAATTTTGATTTAATCGTAACAATCTGAGAAAATATAAGTATAATAAGCAGTAAAGACATCAACGAATCACAATTGGAGGAAAATGCTCCGATTGTGATTGCTGGTTCAATTTAAGCTTAGTTCAGATTCAGTTTAAGACCTTTCGTCTTAAAATAATTAGCTGCGGCTTTCCAGGCAGACGTATCGCATCTAAATATTTCTACATGACTGAGTCTGACAACGTGGCTTTGCAGCTGTCAACAAGCTGTCAATCACAATGACAGTTCGAGCTCAAATCAGCTGTGAAGAGAAACAAACCAAGGCAAGAGGCAGTAAGAGAAAAAATATCAAATTTATTTTCTCGCTAGATGTTTGGCAAATGAAAAATGATTTCATTGTCCTTTTACTCGCGTTCATACCTATTTAAATGAGCGAAAACATCCTCTGAATCCCACGTTGTTTAGCACTTTAGCAGATCATGGAGTCACATTGGGGCTAAAATAGCTAGATTTCTTCAAAGAAGTGCAGCGGTTCAAGGAAGTACAATAATATACTTACAATTAGCATACACAGTCATCAGTCGCAGGGTCCTCAACCGTCGATGTCAGATAATCAGTTGCGAACTTTGTATCATTAAACGGGGACCATTATTCCTTTAGCATTGTTGTATTCTGGCATTCAAGGAGTTAAGCTTTACATTTAATGTATCAGTAGAGCCAATTTTTGATTCCAGATTATCGATTTTAGCAGTGTGTATGGTGATACTGGTAGTTATGCCAAGGTTCTTATAATATTAATTAGAGCTGCTGTAATATTATGATTCCAATTTGGATTGCAAGTCCACCGATTGGCTAGTACTCCGAAATTGCAGTTTTGAAATTGAATTTATTTGTGGAGATGATATGAACAACAGGTAAATTCAATTTGGAAGTATCGAAAAGTCTTTGTAGATTTACAAATGGCTCATATTGTAATAATGTATTATTGTCTATCTTGCAAAAACGTATATATGCGCGAACGCGCTAGAAAGCGTTTATATTTCTAGCAGAATAATTTAAAAATAAAACAAGGCATAAGAAAAAATAAAAATAAATTGTTTTGGTGGTTGAAAAATAAACTGTTATTGATCGTTTGAAAATGTGAAATGGCACTGAATTTCACATTAATTTAATTACTACAGCAATAAAACAAATGACAGTAAGTAAGTCTGATGCAATAGATCGATCGGTGATTAAAATAAAATTGTATCATGTCGTGTTAGTTGCTTTTAATATAATGCATTAAATCTATTTGTTTTTGCTAATAGTATTATATTCTTCAAAGTTCTAAATGTTCTATTTAACTTTCAAGAGATTACATCACCATATTATTGTCCTTCTGTTTGTTTATTAACTCGAAGTATTTCAAAGTTGATATTAAAAATTTATCTTTAATGCATTCGGCGGATTTTAAAAATATATTAATTTCTGTCATAAAGAATTAATTTCGCATCTGAATGATATATTTTTAACTAATATCTTTGTTACACATTTGATGCAAATTTAATAGTACAAATATTATGGTTTAATGTTTCTTCTTTTTGTATAATAATACAATAGAAATTTAAAAAAAATTGCTCGATTTACATAATATAGCAAGATCAGGTCAAATATAAAAAAATATTTCCATAAACATACAGTACTGCAATGTACAAAGAATATAAATAAGCACGATATTTCATCGTTCATTATGCAAAAAATACTTTATATCAAGAAATAAAACATTAGTGAAACTTCAAATTTATTATATTTAAATTATTTAAACTAAATATGCGTGATAATAACATAAGTAATTATTACGATAAAATTTATAGATATTTATTATATATACAGATATATATATATATAATAAATTCTATTATATTTATCAATAAAACTTATTTATTACACACGCATATGTACACATTATTATACACACGCGCACGCGCGTGCATATATTTGTGTATATATTTCTTTGTATAATTACATTCGCAAACCACAATTCTTTTTTGCATTTGCGCAATGTCTGTAATTGGTGCAATTCAAGGCATAATCGGTTCGTTATCGAAAAATAAGCCATCGGAGAAATCCGTACTACGTATATAAAAATAAATTTTTGCTTATATACACACATATATGTATATACGTACATACATACACATATATATTATATATATAAGCAAATATATGTATATATATATATATGTATATCGGAAGATAAACGCATCATGTGATGTGATTACACAGTCAAAGCGTATACGGATATTCCTCGATATAATTTTTAATTAAGAGTGGTAAACGTTCAGTAGGCAACTTGCTTCGATTCACAGCGAGTCTGGCCAAATGTGACAGTGATCTAACTTCCTTAACAAGAGGGCTGGTCAAATAAATCTGGCTGTATAGTTGTCCACTGTAGTCGACCCAGACTTCCCTACGATGCTCATCCATTCTCTTTGAATACTCAACGTAGTGCTCCAACATTTTGATAGGACAATCGAAAAATGGCATCGCCGATGCTAATTTCGGTTCGGCATCGAGCCGAAACTGTTCGAGAAAATAGTGTACTCTAATAGAAGCGGGGCCTCTGGATGTTTTCACAGATACCGCAAAAGTGTATCTGCTATCCGAACTGTCTCTCATTAGCCATCGACCGATGGACGCGTCCTTCAAAAGGTTTTCGCTCTGTTGCCAACTGATGCCCTCATGGTACCAACCACAAATCTGCAGCAATCTCTTTACCTCGCGTAATCTATTTACGTCTGAATCCAGGCCCCAGGAAGTCGGCATTATCCAGGACACCGGAGTGGTTGTCGCATTGTCCCTTTGCTCGACGTTATTACAATCCTTGTTGTTTCCGATTGCAACAATTTGATTCACCGTTGCACAGTCCAATTCGTTCGGTTGCACGATACCACCTCCATAAAAGTTATTTCTACCACGATCTGGCAACTTCGTCGTCATTACCTGCTTTGGCGGCGTCGTCGTTGTCGCTGTAATGTTTACCGTACACTGACCCAGGTTCGCGGGTAGCTGCACAGTGGCGTTCACTCGGAATTGCACGCTATTACCGACAGGCTCCAGCAGCAAGGAGTCACGATCATCCGCTAGAGATGCATCAAGCAGCCGTCTTTGATACTGACAGTGATTTTGCTGAAACGTACCTTTACAATCGCAGCCATTCGTTTTGATCATCGGTATCTTTTGCTGCCTTGATCCAGCGCTCGTTATTTTGTTATTCTCATTATCCCTTATCGTCCCACATGACAACACCTTTATGTTTCCCGGCAATTCCGAACAACCGTTGGGAGGCGTAACAAACGTCCGACGAGCATTATTATTGACGAGCGCGAAGTTTTTCGTATGTTTGGATGTCGTCGATCGCTCATCTTCAGCGGACAATTTCTTTTGCACAAGGCAACCGCCGCCAGTAAGCTTCGGTTGAATTTTGATTTGCGAGGCTTGTACCAGAACATCCGTTTCTGTATTTTGTACAAGGCAACCACCTGATTGTATATCGGGTGTAGCAATTGTAACGTTGCCACCAGTCAGCTCGCACGTAGTTGCGACATATAGTTCTGAAGGTTCCGTATCATCATAGTTAAGATTATCTGTTACCACAATAAAGGAATCTTGATCATTCGACTGATATATTGGCGATCTTAATAGCGGATGGTGATTTTGTTTCATCGACGAGGCCTCAATGTCATAAAAGAGTTCCATTGTATCAGAGCTGGTAATTCCAACATTGGAGCCGTAGTTGACTGCACGTGGCTGGAAAATGGTGGGCTCGTGAATATTTGTGGATGGGTTTATGAAACAACTGCTGCCACTGGTGTAGCCACGTGACACTGGGAGGCCACTAACGTAATGAGGTGCCGTTGAACTGATAGTATTAGCAATCATTTTTTTCACGTATTCTCCATTTTTCTCTTCCTCTTCCTCCTCTTCTTCCTCCTCTTCCTCTTCTTCTTCCTCCTCCTCTTCTTCTTCTTCTTCCTCTTCCTCTTCATCCTTCTTTTCCTTGTCTTCTTCCTCTTTCATTTTCTTTTGGCTAGTTTCATCGCTCCACTTTAAACAGCATCCCACCACTGGAAAGCGATGGTGGCATTTTGGACACATCATTCTCAGCATCATGTATGTGTACTCGCAATTGAATCGCCACAATCAACATAGCACTCCGGTCTGAAATAATACAACGAATATTAAGTTACTCTAAGCATAAATAGCAAAATTATTAAATTAATTATTTGTGTACATATTTACGAAAAATGTAGGTGCATTTTGGCAAAAATATTTTAATCATAAAACATTATAAATGATATAATCTAAGTCGGTAATCTTTTATCAAAAACTGATCATAAATCATACTACGTATCATAGGCGTTTAAAAAAAATATTAAAAATAAAGTTTTGTGTGCTGTATGTTAAACTTATTTTTACTCCCAACAGCTGCAAATCGAAGGTTGGCAAAAGACGGAGAAAATATGCGTTTCACCGAGGTTGGATATAAAGATAAAAAAGATACGCCAAATATATAGACAACATCCGAAAAACGTATATATAGAATAGATTTTAAAAAGAGTTTAAAAAGATATTCTTTAATAAAAATGTGTTTATAAAAAGGATCATATAAAAGTCTATTTAAAAATAACTGTCTAAAACCAAACGTAAAATCAGTGTAATTAGCCAAGTATTGATTATACAAGATAGTCCGTTATAATTAATAAATAGATTTATCTTTAAAACCATGGCAAAAGAAGTAGCACAGGAATTATATTGTTTCGAGGAAAACTATGCTGCATATCAGATTTTAAGCATAGAAGTACTTTAAAGTTAATTTAATTTGTTAAAAAATGAAACTTTACTTTTATTTTTTACTGTAAATCAATTCTTTTTATTATTCTGCATGGTCAATGAAAATGTATCTTCAGTCATTAAATGTAACGTAAGAGTTCTACACCGTTGGAAGACTTCGGCTCTGTGTATCGAAATAGGAATTCGTAGAAAAACATTTTTGGCAAGGATCGGTACGCCAGACGATAACGACGGCACTGCACAGCGATGACGTCTACTTCGTGGAATATAGTCTGAAAATTTGACGCGCTCCTATATTATCACTGAACCACTTCTATGTCACTCTATTTTCACCAATCGGCGAACGTTTCGAGGAAGCGCCTATGTTCGTCAGATACATTGCGCAATATCGACTCGATAGCAAAATTAGATCGCATATATATCCTAATCTCATGGATGATCGACGTTATATCGAGAATTAACGATATATTTATCGTGAGATCAGTTGCGAATATTTTATCTTCAAAACTTAAAGCATTCCAAACAATAGCAATTTTTTTCTCCTTACTCTAAAATAAATTATTCTCGTTTACACGAACCATATTGACTTCCTATAAATAGAAAAATATTTTTCACAATTTTACAAATTTGTTAAATAATTTAGGAGTGTTTTTTTTACATTAAAATAATATAGATCTAAGTGATATAATTTCTTTTTCTTCGAAAACAAAGCTTAATTTTAAACAATTTCTTGTATTATTTCGACTTATTTTGAGTCACTTTTTTCTGTTATATCATATATTGGCATAATTGTATAGATATTACAAACAGATCACATATTTTTACCATTAGGACGATTTAATTAAATTACATCATTTATGATATATTCAATAACGTGAAAATAACACAATTTTTTAGCTAGAGAAAAATATACACTTGTAATAGGAAGACAATATATGTGTGCATGTACGTATATACATTGAAAAAACCTTATTTAATTATTAATTATAAATGTAAATTATTTATATTATTTTCTATACAAGTAGAACTATTTTTGGAATAATTTAATTCGATGGGAATTTGTCTAACGATATAACAAAGTAAAACATAAGAAAACATTTTCTCAAATATAATATATTATTATTCATAATTCCTTACCAAAATATATTTTGCCTGGTTACTTCTTTGAAGTATTTTATTCGACGAGATGTACGTATGCAGCTTAACAACATTCGTTCTTCTTTTCCCTCGAGCATCGGCGAAATGCTGTTAAAAATTACCAATCCTAAGTAAATTTTTGACTATCAAGGGGGGCTCGATGAACCCAGGGATAATTGGGGGAGAATTTATTTTCTCGACTGTTTCAACCGATAAAAGTATCTGATAAAACTATCTATTAATTAACTTCTAATGCAATAAGTCATGATTTTTTATTATTATATGGATGCATTATGTGTAAGCATAAGATATTTACGACGCAATATTATATACATTGCTGCAACATTACAACATTACATATCTTCTTCCATATATAGTTTTGTACAAATAATCAAACATGAGTTTGATTATTACATGAACATTCGTTTTAGCTGAACTTCTTGTACAGTTCATCTTTTCTCTTTTTTTCTCCAACGTGAAAAGGAAAAGAGGAAAGATGAACCGTGCAAAGAAGTTCAGCTAAAACAAACATGCCTATGGATAATTAACACAGAGGTGCAGCTCTGAATAAAAAAATTGAATATTATCATAGGCCTGTTTGTTTTTGCTGCACTTGTGAACTAGTACAATAAATTGGAATGAAATAAATATATTTATTCCCATTCTAACTTACTGCACTAATTCAGAAGCGCAGCGAAAACGAACAAGCCTCATGTCATATATACGTACGTCATATATACATACATACATACATATGGATAATTAGTTCATAATATAATATTAATTTTGTTTTCTACTTTTATATGCATATACGATACATGTATACATACATATGTATGTGTCTATAAAACTAGGAAACATCAGGAGAGATTAATAGATCACAAAATTAATATTATATCATGAACTATAACCATCCAAATTGTGGCAGTCGAGCAAATTTCCATAAGATGTCGGTTTTCAATAGTACCTTGTCGATTGTATGCTTCGAGTAAAAACATACAGTTACTTGAACACTCATATAATCTCGCGAAATAATCAATTCAACTGTTTCACTCTTGAGACCTTTTATCCACTTGTGTGCTTGCCGTTCGAGACAAAAGTGTTTCGAACTTGGAAAGATTTAGAATAGGACAATATATCTCTCGAATCGCATCACATACGAATATGTGGTTCAACCGCACTCGTTCATTGTATGCTCGCACGTCAAAAAATAAAATTTAACATAACCTAACCTAACCCCGATCCCGATACACTCGATAACGTAGCGATCGGGAAACACCACCTCACACTCACAGACAAACTAACTAATAATAGACATCTCACCGTATATTATCCGTGTAAAAAGATATGAAAGGTGTATCGATGGGCGCGTTCAGAGCACTGGGATTAGTTGCCAAATGTTGCAGTAGAGGGTACCACAGGGTGCTCCAGGAGTTGGAGTTGGTCTACCCTCTCTATGCGAGTTGGAGTTGGAGGTCGAAGCTCCTGCTCCTGACAGCTCCTGACTCCTGACGCTCTTGTTTTTTTTCATAAATGGCAATTTATGTTGTTTGATGTATAATAGTTATTAGTTTTGCTCGAGGAGCGTGCATTTATGTTACTATGTCGAAAGCTAAAGTCTCGGCGGAATGGAGGAAGAGAGTGAAGTCGGAGTACATGCGATTGCGGCAAATGAAACGCTATAAACGAGCGGATGAAGTCAAGATCGCGTGGAATCAGAATCGTAAGGTTATGACAGGTAAGTGGTGTTTTTCCTACGAAAATAGATACGTGTTGCTTTGTATCTGAAAGAATTTATTTTAATCAGTATATTTTTGGTTTTCTTCCATTTCTGTTAATTTTATGTCAATTTTTTATCCGTTAAACTTAAAGTCGTAATGTTAAAAGTAATGTTGATAGCTCCAATAATGTTAACATATAACTTTGTTTTCGTAATAAATATCTAGGATTGTTTATTGAATAGAGCTTCTCATGGCTGAACAAAAACGTTGGACAGATGGAAAGGCAATGTGGCTGGCAATCCAAGATATTCCACCTCACCTTTCCTGTATGAAGAAAGCTGAAATTACTAGTCCTGATGGCGATGTGCAAAGTTGTCCTGTAAAAATTATTAATGCAGTGACCCCTATACCAACCATGTATACATGGGCTCCTATTCAGCAGAATTTTATGGTGGAGGATGAAACCGTTTTGCATAATATTCCTTATATGGGCGATGAGATTTTAGATCAAGATGGTACTTTTATCGAGGAACTTATAAAAAATTATGATGGAAAGGTACGGAGGACAGTCGAAACTTGCATTAGTAGTGATGAATTTTTTTATCGCTACAACTTTGTTGTTGCAGGTCCATGGTGACAGAGAATCTGGTTTCATGGATGATTCCATCTTTGTTGATTTGGTGAATGCTTTAGCGACTTACGAGAAAGATGATAAGGACAAAGAACAAACGAAGAAAGGAAAAGAGTCTTTAAAAGAAAAAGAAAATCAAAAAGAAAACGAGAAGAAGGATGTTGAAATGAAGACTGAGCTCAAAACAGACAAAACTGAAGGTGGAAAGACAGCAGCTACTCCATTTCCATCAATGCATATATTTAATGTAAGGAAATTAAATATCACAATAAGATATTAGTATAATCCTATAACAATGCTCTACAATTATAATTTTCAGGCAATATCAAGCATGTTTCCTGATAAAGGAAGACCTGAAGAATTAAAGGAGAAATATATTGAATTGACAGAAAGATCTGATCCAAATGTTTTACCGCCGGAATGTACGCCCAATATAGATGGTATAAAAGCACGGAGTGTACCTAGGGAACAAACGATGCATTCTTTCCATACTTTGTTCTGCAGGCGATGCTTCAAGTACGACTGCTTCTTACATCGTGAGTATACTGCAATGAAGCGATCTTCTTGACTATTTAAGTTGTATTTTGTGAAGTATTAATCATAAAAAATAATATTATCTTTAATACTTATTATCTATTCACTTCTTAATATTAACTTAACATTAACTAGTTCTTAATATTCACTTCTTAATAGTATTTTTAGCGGTAGAGTAAAATTAATACCACAAAAAAGAAATACTTCGCTGAAATACATCTTACTAAATAATTGTATAATATTTAATGTGTCCTAAATTGAAAGTTTATTAATTACAATAATTTGTGATTCCTGATTTATCGTAGCAGCCAGGGGGACCTCGCCGCAAGGTAAACAACATTGCATACAAACTAATGCATTATCGATCGGAAGCTTTTTTTTGTTTAGCACAGAGGCATCGTCAAGGGCTCATCTGAAATCATATTTCATTCATCGTTCATCGCTGTGTCCACTAAATTTCTCTCCATTCAACTATGCCGAATTAGTCGACGAGAGTCGACATTCATAGTGAGTTTATGATATTGCTTGTAGGTCTTCAAGTTTGCCATCCAGGTCCGAATTTGCTGAAGCGGAAAGGACCCGATTTGAAACCATTTGCGGAGCCATGTGGGACAGAATGTTACATGCATTTGGTACGCTACGTATTATGCTATATTCCATATAACAGAATGTCTATTCTCAAAGTACAGATTTGTTGATATCGTACTTCTTTATGTAGGAGGGGATGAAGGAAAAGCTGGCAGCACAAGCAGCAGATATAAAAGAGGATGAAGGCGACGAGAAACGCGGTGGTCCTAGGAAGGTGCGAAAACAAGCAAGTGTTGATTCTGGAAATGAAGCAAGCAGCGAGGATAGCAACGACAGCAATAAGTACAGTCAAGGAGGCAGTTGTCAAGGTTAATATGTATAACTCGTCACCATGAGATTACACGTATATATTTAAATGAAATTCTAACAAGTTTTATTACTTAAATTAGACTTTAAGCAAAACGTTAACAAAAACTCCAAGCCTGAGGAAACGATGGAGGATCAAGCGCAACCTGAAAATCAGACACCCTTCACGCTATTAGGAATTGGCGAACGAAATAAGATAGAAAGCGAATTCTCGTGGACAGGTTCGGAACAGAGCTTGTTCCGAGCACTTCACAAAGCCTTCCCCGGTAATCCGTGCGCGTTAGCTCAAATCATGTTGACGAAAACTTGCCAAGAGGTGTATGAATTCGCACAAAAAGAGGCTTCGGACATCCCCGCTATAGAAAATCTGAAGGACTTTACGCCACCACGAAAGAAGAAGAAGAAGCACCGATTATGGTCCATGCATTGCAGAAAGATACAACTTAAGAAAGATTCTGGTACGTTCATTGATCGATTTCAAAAGTTTTAAGCTCATGTTTCTTTCGATTTCTAATTAATTTCTTTCGACAGGTGCTAATCATGTGCATAATTTTGCACCTTGCGATCATCCGGGTCGACAGTGCGATAACTCGTGTCCCTGTATCCAAGCGCAGAACTTTTGCGAGAAATTCTGTCAGTGCAGCAGCGAATGCCAGAATCGATTTCCCGGTTGTAGATGCAAGGCTCAGTGCAATACTAAACAATGCCCGTGTTACTTGGCCGTAAGGGAATGTGACCCGGATCTTTGTCAGACGTGTGGCGCTGATCAATTCCATATCACGAAAATATCTTGCAAGAATGTCAGCGTGCAACGTGGTCTTCGTAAGATTAATAGACTTTGTCGTCTACTTTGTTAGAAACAACAAATATATACGAAAGATAAGAAAATGTTATTTTGTAGATAAGCATCTTCTGATGGCACCCTCAGATGTAGCAGGTTGGGGGATTTTCCTGAAAGAGTCAGCGGCGAAGAATGAATTTATCTCCGAGTATTGCGGCGAAATTATCAGTCAGGATGAAGCCGATAGAAGAGGAAAGGTATATGACAAATATATGTGCAGTTTTCTTTTCAACCTCAATAATGGTAAGTACAATATAAATGCAGCAAACGTAGTCAATGACCAAGAAGAAGATGGATTAAAAGATATTTTCTAGACTTTGTCGTTGACGCAACAAGAAAAGGGAATAAAATAAGATTCGCCAATCATTCGATAAATCCCAATTGTTATGCGAAAGTAATGATGGTGAACGGTGACCACAGAATAGGTATTTTTGCCAAAAGAGCAATCCAACCTGGGGAAGAATTATTTTTTGACTATAGGTATATCACTGTGATATTAATTGATTCATCACAATCACATGATTAAAACTGTATAAATTATGACAATTTTTAGATATGGACCGACGGAACAACTTAAATTTGTCGGTATCGAACGGGAAATGGAATTTCTTTAAGGATTCATATTTTATATATATATATACACATATATATGTATATATAATCACACGCATATAAGTAATATGTTAAATTGATGCACATACAACTGAAATATTAGGAATGAAATAAATACGAAATAAACACTTGTCTGACTCATTTATTAATAGAAGAATGTTTCTTCATTTTTAGATGTTAAAAATCTATATTTTTACTTTGTCTAATCAAAATAGAACAAATTTCTAGTATTACAATATTAATATAGATTTTTTGTGTATATAACAAAGAAATGTAAAAGAAATTTCAATACTAAAAGACTTTAATTTCAGTTTTTTTTTAAATATAAGTTTGTGATTAAATATAGCATCATATTATCCGATGTGTTTGCGAAAAACTATTATAGCAATACTGCTACAATACCGCAAAAGTAATTGTAAAATATAAATATTTGATGGATAATTAACAGATGAATAATCAATTTTAATTGTAAGCGGAAGTATTTATCAATCTCATTTTTTAGTTATATACATATATCATTTATTAAAAAGAGTCTTATGGAAAAAAACCAGTTCTGTACTTTTTTTGTATAACGTATATATCAATTTATAATTTATAATTACGAGAATAAATATATTTGTTACAATTTGTAAAATAAAAGGATACATCTTTATTCGTACACACATATATATATATATATATATATATATATATATATATATATATATATATATTGTGCTATTATGAGAATATCATTTGCTACGATGAATCTCAAGATTGTCCTTTTTGAGTTGTTTGCAGAAGAAATTTAAATTAAGAGCTAATATATAGCTATAATACTTTTGTCCCTCTATAATTATGTAGTTTATACACTTATATAAAGTTTATAAAATCGTATTTAAAAATAATATTACAAAATTTTAATTATTTAAAATATTTATTTTCTAAAAAATTTTGTTTTTTTTTTTAGTTATATCATTTGCAGCAAATAAGCGATGTATTTATTTAATTTATTATCATGTAACTATAACTATAGTCAATTAATTAATTTTTAATTAGTTCGCTGAGGAAATTACTTAGTTATTTATAGCAGGATGATATCTAAAGACGTCTTAATGACTTATTAGACGCATTAAAATTTATTAATCGATGGCATTAAGATGTCATTTGACGTTATTGTGCTACCTGGGTAATTAATTAATTTTGTTGACTAAGGTCAAGATGCACCTACGCAAGCTTATAACTAGTGTAACTGGTAGAGAGAAAAAATATCTATATTTAATATAAAATTGTATATTTTCTTATCTTTTGTTATGTTTGCTGCGTTTTATATTTTATATTAAATATAGATATCTATATTTAATATAGAGATTTTTTCTTTCTAACAAAAGATAAGAAAATATACAATTTGTAATTTCAGCGAAAGCGAAAAGAAAAAAGTTGTGTATGTCGAAAAAGTTCCGCATTAATGAACTCTTGATATCATATGTCAATATATGATATATTACATATCGTAAGGTCCATGCTGTCTAATAAATTGATTATCTGAGATAATCTGAGGGAAGAAATTTGGTGGTAAGGGAGAAAATTAAATTTTTTTATTACGTTTCATAAGTTTAAATAAACCCGAAGTCAATTGCATTTTCCAATATACATATATAAATACCACCGAGTAACTGACAAAGTTTATTCCACGAAGATATATGCACGATAGATCAATTGTATATGTTCGAATCTTTTTATATCCAAAGATTACATTTCGTATTTATTTATTTATTTGTTATCTATATCGTGTAAGGTATTGTACAAATTTTATACGCAGCATAACGAAATATTACGTGACAAGAAATAATTAAAATCTCATCACGGTTTCTTTCAGAAGCAGTTACGACAGCCCGATGTGATCGAGGCTTTTTATATTGTGTTACTTTAATTTCAAATCAATTTCAAGTCTGGTGATTAATGAAAGGAGATTGCGTCGAAGACAGGCAAACGCGCCTTGAAATTGCGAGTCGCCTCTCTCTCTCACGGTGATCACGCCTGGGATTAAAGCGTCACGAGTGACGAGTGACGAGCTTTCGCGCAGCTTACAACGGAGTTACCGCGAAGGGATTGTAGGGGTAGCCGGGGTAGGGAAGCATCTCGCGGCGATCCCGACGTGGGAATTCAGCCACCAGTTGCAAGCTTCGCGGCTGCGAAGGCGGTCGGACGGAGAGCCCGTCGAAAAGGTTTAGATTAGGAGACCTCTATATATATAAAAAAAAGTATTTCTTTCCGAAAAATAATACGCAGACATTAAATTAATACAATTAATACAATAAATTCGGCCGCATTTAAGCAGTAGAGCTTTCGCTCCTTGAACCTACTCGAAAATTAATTCGTGCATTGATATGCAGTGAATCGAAAGTTTAATTTCGATATAATTTCTCGCCGATACGAGTCGCGCGAATGTTTCTTCGCCCGTCGCCGCCTCCTCTCTTCCCCACAAAAAAAGAAAATAAAAAGGGAAACAAATCGAGAATAAACAAACGATTAATAATGACACTGTCGAACGGAACCGCGCGCCTGACGACGGCAATGGTGAAAATTCGCGCGTTAAAAATTTAATTGGATCCGAACGAGGGGCAAATATTTACACTCGCGTATATTGGATTCGCCTGCGATCCTCTGCGATCTGGATTTCGATGTGCGCAGGGACGAGTAGCGCGAAATCGAATCGCTTTCTTAGATGGTAAATTCGGGGAATTTGGAAACGTCGCGCGACGCGCAACGGATAAACATGTCGTGAAGAAGGTGAAGTGTACGAGAAAAGCGACGTCGCGCCGTCAATGATACTCGACTCGTCGAAGGAAACCAATTTGGATTGAAGCCAGGCCTGAGGAAATCTCATCCGCGAGCATGGAGGAAGAAGGTAATTTTTTTTCAGTGAACAAACTAATTAGAGCTTTGTGTTAAGATTGCAGAAAGTACACGCCATTTTTTATTGCAAATTATTCGCTCTCAAATTGTCAAGCGATTAATTGTTAAATACTGATTGACATCGTAATTATTTCTTAAGGAAGTTTTTAATTAGATCAGAAGATTACTCATGGGAGGATAAAACTTGGGTTATTAAAGATTTATTAATCAAAATTTTATAAGTGATTTAAATGTGTGAAAACCAACATTTTTTACCCAAACAGTTGCTTGTGAAAAAGAATCTTGATGCAATGTCGTCAACACATTGAAAGACACCGCGCGAGTTTGATTAGAATCGGGAATGTCTGACTGAAAATTACTATAATAAGTAAATATAATAAGTAAAGATTTTCCATAAATTTTTTCATGATTTTGTTTAGCCCAATTAATGGTATTAAAATTATGATTTACATTATTTTATTATATTTGGATTTTTGTTATATAAGTATTCATATAATTATTTAAACAACACGTGTCATTTAACGTCAGATATTGAGTATAGATAATTAAGTGTAATTATTGCATATAGTCAAATTCATTTAGTCAAATGTTAATAAACATCAAATATGAATTTAATATTCTAACGTGTGAAGATGTGTAACGTACTACCGAAAATCTTCAGCGAATGTTAGCAACAAAAATGTGTTACAGACAAACAACGTTGTTGCATTAAATTTGAATTTATGTTATCTAAGAAAGAATTATTTATTATTTTCTGACTTTTTATAAAGTTATAATTATTATAATATTCGTAACTCAATATGACAGTCGAGAACAAGCTGCATATTGCAATATAAATATAAATATTGTACTTTTGTGACAGTAGCGATTTTTCGACAGTATGAAATTATAATGAAAAAGTGCTTTTATTATATGATGCGACAGTTTATAGAGATGCATCATTCTTTTGCCATTATAAATAAAATCTATATAGAAATATAAATACGATGGTGCATTCAATCATCGGAAAATTATGATCTTTACGTTACTTTTGTGAAAAAAAAATAAAAGCTTTATTTAAGAAATTATTCGTTAACGGTAACAAAACATACTGAAACACTTTAGGCGTTATTAAGAATTGCATGAAAATTTGTAGTGTTTATAGAAATCAATTTAATTTATTAAACGTCCTAAAATTTATATCACAAAAATTACAAAAATACAAACTATTATTTTAAAAATCGTAGAAACCTGTGAAATATTAATCAATTGCTTATAATTGAATGATTGTATAAAGTTGAATTTAATTTTTATTTAGTATTTTAGCCTTTTAGATTTATCGTACGAATTAAACGCCATATCTGATAACTGTAACTTTATTAAATAACGTTACGTAACATGCGTATATAGTACCGAGTGGCTTCTTTTGTCGCAGAAATTAATTAAATTTATGTATTGTAATTTTAATAACAATCTTTGTATGATTTAAGTTTGAAATTAAATTCCGTTGCGTTAGAGAGCGTAAGCCTCGAGAATAATATAAAACCGATAGGATTCACTTCATCTAATTAAACTTAGAACAAATTTACTCGGGAATAAATTGTTCATATATAATTGTAAATTAAATATGTTTATATATATACCTTTTTCTTTTGTACAATCTCTATTTATACATATAAGACAAATAATATTATAAAGAATAATTGAAAAATAATTATAGAAAAATAACTTTTGCATTGTTTTTTTTACAAAAAGTAAAGTTGCGATTAGATTATACAATGTCCTATAAACATATTTTATACACGATTATTTCTATGATTATATTATTATATGGATAATTCTTTTATTAACTCAAACTTTATTTTTTGTAAAATAAAACATTTGAAAATTATTCTTTTAATTATTTTTAATTCTTTTTTTTTTATTATTTTACATGTATATACAAACAGAGATTATACAAGAGAGAGAAAACATATATGAATTTATTTTATATATAATTATACATGAAACATGTTTTCTCGGATATTTATAAAATTTGTAGCGTATGTTTAAAACACTACGTTATAAATCTATGTTACTATGTGTTAAAAATATACGGTATAAATATTATAAATAAACTTATTTTAAGTTTTATTTGATGAAGTCTCTTCCGGTTTTTATGTTTTATATTTTAAGCATGTTAATGCGTCATAAAAACCGCTTTTTTGTTATAGATGCGAAAAGTTTCTCGTCCGTAAAATATTCCTCGCATAGGTAATTTTTATTCCGCGTACGAGACTGCACGTATAGATATATGCGCGAACGTATTCATTTGAATAAATTCACATTTTAATAAATACTTGTTTTTTTTTTTAATATATTTATACGGGTATCAGTATACGTCATATAAACCGCAAGAAATGTGATGGCAAAGAGGGCCTGTTTAAACAAGTTGCATAGACTGCGTTTAATTCTCGTGACTCTTTGATCCGGATATTTTCTCTTTTCTCTTCTTTTTCCCTCACGTGTGCGAGATATTCCGCGAGAAACGAACGAACGAGCGTAAATTCCATGAATTTAAAGCGCACCTGAATCCGCGACTGCGAGCGCTATATACCGGTATTCCGCATCGATGTTTCGCGACACGTGATAATCCGGTCTTCCGTCTTCTCTCGCGTGTTTCATAATCACGTCACTGCGTTATTGTATCGTCTTCTAAGTTTCATAAACAATTCTCGAGGCAACAGGACCGCTTAACTCGCGTGTTGCTCTTGCGAAACATATATTTCCCAGTATCGCTATTGCACTCGTCTAAAAAGCATATCTTTAATGCGGGAAGATATATTATATTTATTTATTTGCCATCGAGTTACATCTTACTTTTTCATTTTATAACAGAGGAGAAACATTAAAATATTAATCTGCTTTTCCTGACGCTTAATTTGCTTGAAAGCTTATCTTGCTCCATATCTGTATATAACAAGAGACATTTGTCAATAGTCACATTTATAGGTATATCAAAAAGAAAAATCGACTTTATATATCGTCAAATGTACACTTATAAGAGAGTATGATAGATGTGCACTTGGTATATTCGGTATTCAATATTTTACTGTAATACAAAATTAATTATAATTAATAATAGTAATAATTACTCAACGCAATATAATCTAACTATAATCGAATAATCAATAGCCGTTGAATGCGTAACTGCTTTTTTCATATAGGTGCAAAGATTAATTTATATTTCATTGCGCATCGTGAATAACTTATAAACTTTCGGGGGACATCGCAGTTCGCCGGACGTTTCCTGTTGCTAATTTTGTCATCGCGCGTAGAATCGCACGCGACGGCGATAAGACGATTCAGAAAGCGGAGCCAAGTTCCAAATTCTCGTGCGGTCCACGGTTTATTTTGATCCTTCGCTCGGCCATTTATTAACCACGGCGTGTATGTACGTGGAAATAATAGCAGGAGACCCGGGTACGTTTACACCGTTTACACAAATCCTGATTGTTACGAGCGGGTTACGAGCGCGACGTCATCGTGTTTACTTGATACGTGAAAATACGTAATTCCGAAAGCCGCCAGACCATCACGACCGTATTCCCGAGCGTATGTACGTGTAGTCGAGACTAGCAGCAGCAGCAGCATAACAGCAGCTTCCGTTAAATGCAGCTTTACAGTTCGGGCACAAAGCGAGTGCTTCTGTTCGGATAAAGCGCTTTATACGCGACTTAATCCTTTCATTACTTGTCTCTATGTTCGCGCTTGTGTGCAATATATACGATAATTATCGTAGTGACAGTAATAGCACCAACAGTGCCGTAAACATTCGGGATATTGGCGATATCGTTCCAAATTATTTTAGATCTTTATTTAGGAAGATAAAAATTAATTGTTTGGATATATTAGGATATATTTGACTCAAAAAGTATTCCGTAACGTTCCTATTATTGCTGTTATTAATATTATTTTAATAGGGGCAAAAACATTATGCTGATACCACTATATAATAATGCATTTGCAATTCTATTAAAAGTAGAAGATAAAATTGCGTCATATCTGAAGCAAGTTACATGCATCGGTAAAACTCTCGCGTAAAATATAATAAAACTATTAGCAAACTGTTTACAAACCAACGGACGGGTGAAATTTAATGGGAATTTAATGAGAAGATCACTGCAAATCCGATTGGCATAACGAGTTACTAGTTTCACTTTGAATCACCTGTTTTCAATACTTTAACACGATTGCATTACACTTTAATGACTTTCCGCCAGTTGGATTTCAATGTAAAACGACGCGTTTTCGTATAAATTCGCTCGAACGAAAAATACAGGTTCCGAAATATCGAGATAGCGAGTATAAACGTGTGCATAGTTTTGCCGCACCGAAAATATCACGTCGCGCGTCACGAGAACTCGCGTTTGCATTCGATCTCGAACTTGTGTCAAACTCAAAACTCCACAGATGTTAAATTTTAATGAATTATTATAGGATCGGTCACTAGCGTATCATTAAAATGGCATCTCCTTTCGTTTCTCTCCTGCGTCGCAGGAGGGTATGTTTATGTTATTTGTTCTCTCTCTCTTTCTCTCTCTCTTTCTCTCGCTCGCTCGCTCGCTCGCTCTCTTATACATTTTTCCCTTTGTTTAAATAATCCATGATTTCTATGACGTTTAAATAAAACAATACAACTATTTTTAATTTCAGCCTTTGTGAAAGAAGCTAGGTTTATTATGCACAAGAAATGAATGTTGTTATTTGAGATACAGATAGTTTATTTTATATGAAAAATGCAGCGCGGATGAGAGACGCAAGCTTGAAACAATAAACAACGGCGAGCCTCTCACTTTGTGAATCATCGCCTGAATTTTAGCAAATTTCTTCGAAATTGGATTTATCATTTTATATTTTTTTTGCCGAAAAAATTATTATTTCTGTGAAAATCGGAAATAGAACTTAAAAATGTGAGCTTTTTACTTCTCGCGAGCCGGACATATTTCTATAAAATGAATAATATTTATACAC